GCATGGAAGGAACAAATATTTGTAGTGATGGCGTGAGAGGGAGGAGAGAGAGAGGGGAGGGGGGAGTCGAGGGCGGGGGGGAGGGGGGCGGGAGGGCCCGACTTTGGCAACGGGAGAGGTCGAGGAGCGAGGGAGAGGGCGGGACTTCACACTTTGCACATACCCGTCTCTCCTTAGTAAGGTCAAAGGAGCGTGCTCGGGTGGAAGATTCGGCAACAGGCGGGATCTGGTTCGGCTGTGCGGATGGCGGGTATGCGGCGGGGATGGCGAGTGGCTGCATGTCTGGTCTTTTTGGTTTTTCGCTCTCCGATTTGGTGCTGGCACAGAGCGACAATGGCGCGGCGCGCAACTCGCTGCGGTCGGTGACGTGGACCATCGAGGCACCTGGAGTAGCAACAAGCACCACGACAGGCACGTTTCCAGCTGGGAGAGGTCAGATGAACCTGGTGGCTACCGCGTGCTGCACCGAAGACCTCGACAAGGCTGACTTTGACCCTTTTACGCAGCTTGGAGACATTGTCTTCACCTGGACGCGCACGCCGACTCTGCCGGCCGAGATCGCCAGCCCCATCCACGGCGTGGGCGTCATGTTTGGCCGCAACGGAACGTATGGAAGCCAGACGCTGGTCGACACCTCGATCAACACGCCGTCGACAACCTACACTTACACCGTTGTGGCCACCCGTGGCTCCGAGTCGGTCACCTCGACGTTCACGGTGACGACGCTCACGCCGCCGACGTGCTCCGGCTCGTGCTCGGCGATCAACGGCGCGCCGGCGCCGTCGACCCCAGCGGTGACGATCGGCAATCAGCTTACATTTGACATGGCGGCGTGCTCCGAGGCCGGCGTGACGTACGGCGGAACGCTCATCATGGCGTTCCCCGGCGGGAGCATCGCCATCTTCTCCGAGTTCCTCGCCGCAAGCACGCCGTCGCTCGTCACCCGCGCCCCACCGATTTACGCGAGTGCTGCTGACTACAGCCTGACGTTCGCTCCGTACGCCGACCTAGCCAACAAGGCGCGGACGTCGTACGCACCGCCGTGTGGCGTGGGTGCGTCGTCGGCGACGATCACCCGGCCACCAGCGCTCGATGCGAGCTCGTCGACGCTTGCGCAGGCTGTGGCGTACTGGAAGAGCACCTCGCTGCCGGCCGCGGCGGGCTTCCGCACCTCGCTCGGCGAGTACGCGCCGTTCCTGGCCGGGATCGCCGGCTCGGCCGCCGTCGCTGCCGCTCCGGCCTACAACCTCAGTGCCAACAGCTACGGCGAGATTGTGTCTGCGGTGTTGGATGAGCTCGCGGCGGGAGTCCGGGCCAACCCGGTGAGCGGGATGGATAGCGGCGGCGCGGCGCGGGCAACGCAGGCGCTGGTCACAGTCGTCCAGACCCTGTTTGTCCACTACAACTCGTCGGCGGCGACGGTGGAGCTCCGGGCGACGCCGATCGTCAACTTTGCGCTGCCAGCCGACGACTTTGCCGCCGGCGTCGAGGTCTTTACCGGCCTGGTTGCACTGTACAATGCGTCTGCAGCCGACGATCGCAAGGGTATGGTTCAGGTCTCGGGCGTGCTGGCGGCCATGTCGCAGATGCTCTTTGACTCAACGCGGACATTTGGCTGCAACCAGACGCTGGCGGAGGCGGCGACGCGACTCGAGGCTGCGGTGCAGGTCCAACGCAACCTCGACGTGGCACAGCAGAGCTGCGGGACGACGCCGCGGACCGACGCGGCGTCGTCGTACTCGGCACTCTTTGATCCGCGCCGGGTTGCGCTCGGCAGCGTGCCACGCGTCCACTACGAGGCCGCCAACGGGGTGGGCACGCTGTTTGAGATAGGCTCGCTCGCCGGGTTTCGCGCCGCCGTCGGCGGCGCCACCACCTGCGTCCACCTCTCCATCGCCACCACCGCCGGCGACCCGTTCCAGCTCCGCGACTGCAAGCCCGGCGAGACAATCGACCCGAGCTCGAACGCGACGCGCGGCGTCAAGTCCGGCTCGGCCGATGTCACGCTCCGCAACCAGGCCGGGAGCCCCATCTCGCTCAGCACGCTGGGCGGGGCGGGCAACTACGTGTACGTCGTGTTCAACAGCCCGGTCTCAGCCGGGACGGGAGCGACGACGCCGGGCTTTGTGCGGCAGTGTAACTTTTGGGATGAGGCGCGCGGGGCGTGGAACGGCGTCGGCTGCACCATGCTCACCGGGCGGCCGTCGCCGGATCGGTTTGTGGCGTCGTCGTCGCCAGGCGGCTTCATCCCGGACTCGGTCATCAACGCGTGGTCGACGTCGGGTAGCCCAGCACTCTCGTCGGCGGCGTACGTCTGCCAGTGCACCCATCTCACCACGTTTGCGGTCCGCGACGACGTGCCGCTCTTCCTCGTTCCGGGCGTGGCGTCCGAGGACGACGCGCCCGACGTCGGCGGACCCATCCTTGTCACCATAGTCGTTGTCATCATCATCGTCGGCGTTACGGTCGAGGTGTTGGCGCTGGCAATCGGCGAGGAGGTGACGACCGGGGCCCGGCTCGGGCTCGACCGCATCCAGCTCTTCTTTGCGCTCGCACTCATCGGGCGCACCGTCCCGCGGTTTTACCTTCGCCTTGCGCAGTACGTCTCGGTCTTTTCGTTCATCCGCCCGCCGCCGTGGGAGGCGAACGACTACCCAGGTGCGCCCGGACCACGTCGCAAGCTCCTTGCCGACGAGACGGCGATGGGCGTGGAAAAGTACGCAGCGTTTGCTGGCATTCCGGCGGACCACTTGCTCCTGACGGTCATCTGGCTTTTTGTCGCCGTCTTTGTGGCTGTCTACGCCTTTGCGGCCGCCTTTGCCTTTGGCTGCGCGCGGCGCCACGCGCTCGCCGCCAAGCTAAAGGCCAAGCTTCCGGGCGTTGGCATCCGACTCGTTATGCTCGGCTACTTTCCTCTCATGTACACATCGTCGTACTCGCTAACCTTTGCCGACGACACCGACGTTCGGACCATGTTTGGCGTCGCCTTTGGCATCGCGCTCGTCATGTACGGTGGCGTCGGCCTCGGCTTTCCGGCATGGGCTGCCGGCCACGTCGGGATCAACGGCATTCGCGGCGGCAGCCTCGAGTCGGAGACCTTCCGTGCTCGCTACGGAGTGCTCTATGATGACTACGTCCGGCCGGACGTTCTCTTTGTCGCTGCCGTCCTCGCGCGCAAGCTGGTCCTCGGCTCGGCCATCGGCTTTTTCTCGCAGGAGCCCGAGACCGCCGTCGTTGTCCTCATCCTCGGCCAGCTCGCCTTTGCCGTCATCCTCGCCTGGCGGCGCCCGTACAAGGACGTCGTCCTCGAGGGCATGGAGATTGCTTTCGCATTTCTCGATGTCCTCCTCTTCGCGCTTCTCATCCCCTACACCGACCTCGGCAACGACGAGGACACCGCCCCGGCGTGGATTATGACCATCCTGCAGTTTGCCGGCCTCCTCGCCACCCTTGCCATGGTTCTGTACAAGGCCACCAAGGCGGCTACCTCCCGTCGCGACCGTGCCAGCGCCGCCGCCGCCGATAAGGAGCTCGGTGAGGGAAGCAGCTACACCTATGCAACAGCGGACTCGGGCTCGAGCCTGCGATCGGGTGTTAGCTCGAGCTCGGGAGTTGGCTCGAGCTCGAGCTCGAGCTCGGGCTCAGGCTCGGACTCGGGCTCGGGCTCGGGCTCGAGCTCGGGCTCGGGCTCGAGCTCGGGCTCGGGCTCGGCATAAAGGGGCCTAGTTTCTTTACGGGAGAAGGGGGGGGTGGCGCCCTTCGGGCGACACGACGATCGGAGAAGACGAACTCTCATCCAATTGCACTGACTATTTTCCGATCACTGATCATCGGCAAACAATTCCAACTTTCTCATTCACTCCCATCCATGCTGCCTCCCTCCCCACTGCGACGCCCCCCCTCTATCCCTGCCTCATCCACCCCCCCTCTTCCAGATAGGGTGGCGCGAAAGAGCACCGATCGACCGATCCACCCCATGGCCTTGCCCCCCCCCCCCCCAAACCTCTCGCTTCGCCGCCCTGATCACGATCGCGATCGCGATCACGATCGCGATCGGCGTGTCACGCACAAGCACCTCACGTCCACCCATGGCCATGGCAAGCCACAAGACGACAGTGTCGACACGGGTGCGGTGCGGGACGGACGCCGAGGAGGTGGTGGCGGAAGTGTGCTCCGCTCTGGCTGCGAGCGACAGCGTGGACGGCGTGGTGGCTGGCGCGGCCGAGGCATGGCTGGCGAGGCGAAGGAGTGTGGGCGGAGCGAGTTCCATGGCTGAGGACGAGGAGGCGTGGGACGGCGACGATGAGCTGCGTGGTGCACTGGCTGTGGTGGCGGTGTGTGTGGTGGCGGACGGGAAGGACGGCGCGAGTGTGGCTGCACTGGTGGCGAGCGATGGTGGTGTTGTTGGCTGGGTCTCGCGGGTGTACTCGGCGATGGCGGCAGTGGCGGGGCACGGGCTGGACGTGGTGGTGCAGGTGGCGGAGGTGCATGCGGCGGTGGCGGGTGGAGAGAGCGGGGGGCGGATGTATGGGCATACGTGTATGGGGGGGACCTTTGATCGGCTGCACATCGGGCACAAGGCGCTGCTGACGGGCGCGGTGATGGCCACATGTGGCGTGCTCAAGATAGGCGTCTCGGACGACGCCATGGTGGCGGAGAAGAAGCATGCCGAGCTCATCGAACCGGTCGACGTCCGCATTGCCGCCACCCGCACCGCCTGCCTCCGGATCCATCCGGGCCTCGAGTACTCGGTCTTTCCCATCCACGACATGTGGGGCCCGACCCGCGACGATCCCGAGCTGGACGCCATGGTCGTGTCGGCCGAGACCGTGGCTGGCGGCTACGCCATCCGCAAGGCCCGCAACGAGCGTGGCCTCACACCCGAGATCGACGTGGTAGTTGTCGACCTTGTTCAGCCGGCAGACGCTGGAGGCAACGACGTCTCGACCAAGGTCTCATCGTCGGCGCTGCGTGCGGCCGAAGCTGTGCGACAGGCGTGATGCCCTGGGCCGCCACTACGCATGCATGCGCTCGTAAAGCGGGGTGACGTGGAAGAGGTCGTGCTCGAGGGCGGCGATCTCCATGTCGAGAGCCGGAAGGATGGGCGCGGTCATACCGCCGCCGCGCTGGAGAAATTGCGGGCGGTCGTGGCCGCCCGTGTGGGCGCTCGCGTGGGCGGCGGCGGCAGGGTGCTTGCGGCGGCGGCGGCGGCGGGCGCGATGGGGCGCTCCGTGGCCGGCCTCAGAGTGCTCGGTGAGGTCGGCCTCGGTTGGAGCTGGGACGCCATCGGCGGGGACGAGCGAGCCGACGAGTGAGGCTAGAGCGCCATGGGCGCGCTTGGAGTGGAGGTGGCGGCGCTCGCGGCGGAGCTTATTGCGGAGGGCAAGCATTTCGTTGTGGAGGTCGCCGTTGGCGCGGGACTTGGTCTCCAGCTCGATGTCGAGGGCGCGGACGGCGACGGCGATGTGATCGCAGGCGGTAATCGAAGTGGCGAGCGCAGCCTCGAGGAGGGCGCGACGCTGGGCATAAACCTGAAGCTTGCGCGGGTAGGTGGCATCGGGCGGGACAGGGGGCAGAGCGTCGAGCCGCTGGGCGAGCGCGACGGCGTCCTGGGTCCATCGGGCTGAGCCCGAGCCGGCCCACGCTGGCTCGGCCATGTGGCCCTGGCCCGAGACGAGCGCGGCCTGTGCGTCGGCAAGCAGCTCGACGCCAAAGGCTTCAGGCCGTGGCAGGTCGTGGCGCGGCGAGTGGCGCTTCGGATCAAAGGTCTCAGCGACCATGTCCGAGGCGACGACGGCGGCGGCGGCGGCGGCGGCTCGTGCCTCGGCCTCGGCATGGAGCGCGGCGTGGCGCGGCGAGTCGAGGCGCACCGCGCGGCGGTCGCGGCGCGGGCGTCCGCTCGCCGCCGACCGCTCATCGTCCTCCAGGATGAGCTGGACGTGGTCGGCGAGGTCGGCGGCGAGTGCCCGGAGCTCGGCGCCGGGCTCCTCCTCGGCGGCGGCCTCAGCGAGGCGGAGAGTGTGGAGCTCGGAAGGGGTCTTGGCGAGCGACGCGACGTGAGATGGCGAGTCACGGGGCGGTGACGAGTTCGGGTCGTGGGCCGAAGACGCTGAGTGCGGCGAGAGGGGGCAAGACGATGACGCCGAGGACGACGAGGAAGACGACGACGAGTACGCCGACGATGACGAGGTGTCGAGCGAGGGATCGCCGCTTTCGGCGGTTTCGGCGACCGAGGCGAGCTGAAAGTTGCTCAGCATGGTGGTCGGCAGCGGGGTGTGCTCGACCGCCGGAGCGGAGGAACCCATGGCGGCCATCGACTTGCGGCGGCCGGACATTTGATAGCGGCGGATGCGTTCCATCTCTGCCACTTGCTTGGACGAGAGCTTCTGATTGCCGGTGCCCGAGAGCTGCTCAGCGACGAGGTCGGCGGTGGGGATGGCAGTGGACGGCCGGCGGGCCGAAGGCTCGCAGTCGTACGACATGTCGAACAGGATGTCTTCTTCGATTTCGCGGAGGAGGAGGACGCGGAGGAGATCGGTGATGGCCTCGACCCGGGTGATGTTGAAGCGGCGGCGCTGAAAGGAGCAGAACTCGGCGATGATGCGGCCAACGAGGTTGCCCTTGGACCAGTTGGGGAGCCGGTCGCGGCGCGGGCCGTGGCCGGGCGAGGTCGGGGAGGACGGCGGGCGGGAGGCGAGGCTGTCGACCTGTGTAAAATCGTCGTTGGCTTCGTAGGCAAAGGTGAGGTCGGAGAGGAAGATGCCTAGAAAGGGGATAGCCGGCGAGTGAGGGTCGGCGCGCATGGCCTCGCGCAGGTGCTTGAACGACCGCTGCGAGGAAAAGAGCTCGCGGATGGTGGTGAGCGTGGCAGTGGTGGAGGATGAGACCGAGTCGAGGGTCTTCTTTAGCCGCGAAACCGGGGTCGAGGCAAAGGCGGCGTTGAAGGCCATGAGCGTGTTGTAGTTGCGGAGAGTAAGGAGCTCCTTGCATGTTTTGGCAAAGTAGGTGATGCGCTTGGAGCGGTCCTTGGCCTTTTTCTCCTTGAGGATCATGCCAGCGCAAAAGTTGGAGATCTTGTTAAAGTGCGCAATGAACTCGAGGATGTTTGGCGCGAGGTGCATGGTCTTTTTCTTGGACCACGCGAGGTCGCGAAACTCGGCCGGATCGATTCGCTGCAGCAGAGTCTGGTCGAGGAGGGTGAGCTGCCGCGCGAGGTCGGCAGGTGGGATGGAGCCAAAATCGAGTAGCGAGAGTGAGGCGCCGGGCTTGAGCTTGATCTTGGGCGGGGTGGGCCGGCCGGCTGGTGCCACCACCAGCGGCTCGAGTGGGACCTGCTGCATGGTCGCTGCGAGCTTGAAGAGCAGGTCCTCGGCGGCAGCCTCAAAGCCGAGCTCGGGCAGCCGCTTCTCGCACACCTGCTGCATGGCGGTGACAAACGAGGGCGAGTCGAGAAAGTCGCCACGAAACTCGGTGATCCACACGGCGAGCAGGTCTAGCGCCGCCGCCGGCTGCGGAAGCGCGCCAAGCGCCGTTGTTAGGTTGGTCAGATCGTCGGGCGGTGAGAGGAGGTCCAGGACCTTGAGGAGGAGGACGCGCGGCGTGCAGTACTTGCGAAAGACGTGAAGGAGGCGGCGCGGATCAACCAGGTCTGAGCCATCGGTGGCGAAGCGTAGGAGCTGGTTGAGCGACGCCGCAGCAAGATCCTGCGAGGTGGGCTCGCGGACAACGACGCTATCCTCGTCGATGTCATGAGAGGCAACTTCCTCCATCTCCTCCCAAAAGGCTACCTCATTGAGAACCTGTGCCGAGGAGTAGACCGAGTCTGATCGCGGCTTGCTCATCGACGACGCAGCCTCGTGGATGATACGACCGGCGGCAGCACGCATGGTCGACTGAAACTTGAGAAAGTGGGCATACTTTGCATCGTCACCATTTTGACTGGCACCGCGAGCAGAGCGAGGTCGACTCTGACTCTGCCCGCCATCATGAGCATGACCATGAGCATGACCACGACCATCTGATTGCGGGTGATGTGAGCCATGCGGACCGTTGTGTGTATCGGCATTGGAGAAGGAGACTCTTGATGATCTCCGCGAGGAGGTAGGCAGAGCAGCAGGAGATATGGTTCCCGAGAGTCTTGGCGATGATGGTGATTGGCCATGAGGCAGTCGTGTGGTGGCTGCCCATGTCTGGCCCGTCGTCCCCGGGACGACCAACACGTCGTCGGCTCCGAGGTCACCGCCTTCTGACGACGAGTCCGAGTGGATGGCCAGGCGAGCAACAGACATGGTATGCGTATGTGTGTGTATGGGGGTGTGTATGTGTGGTGGGGAGAGGGGTGGTGGTGGTGGTGGTGGTGGTGGTGGTGGTGGTGGTGGTGGTGGTGGTGGTGGTGGTGGTGGTGGCCGTGGGCGGTTGGCGACATGGTTGGCAGGCGATTGGTTTCGGGTTGGGGAGATGGGGATGGGTTGGGGATGGGATTGGAAGGGATCGGGTTGGAGAGGAGAAAGGGGATGGGGATGGAGATGGAGATGGGGTTTAAGGCCGCTGGTGTTGCTGGTGTTGCTGGTGTTGCTGGTGTTGACGGTGTTGGCGGTGTTGGCGGTGATCGCTCAAGGCAGGGGTGGGGCAAGGTGACGGAGTGTCAAGGGTCCGACATCGTAGCCCTTGCATACCAGGTCTTGGCTTGCGGTGGAAGATCGGGAACGCCTAGGGTGTAGACCATCCGCCTCCCCCAATGTAAGGTATGCTGGTAGGGAAGACGCTGCGCGTCTGCTAGGTCGTTCCGATCGACCAGACAGTGCGCATGCGCCACGCCGCTTGCACGCCAGACTGGACACAACTGGTCGGCCCACAGCAGCTCGATCCAGTTGACTGGCCGCCGTGCAAGATTCCGCCGCAGCATGGCCCGCGGCACGCCCAACACTCGCGCCCACATGAGCTCGTCGAGCGACAGCGATCGCAGTCGCCGGCACGTCCATCCCACCCGCACCACATCCACCGGCTCATCCGCCCCAAGCAACGTCATGATGCTTATCCACAGCTCGGCAGGGAGTTCCGCCCACGACACGACATTGTTCGTCTCTCCAGCCGCCACCTCCTCGGTATCTGCTGCCGCGCTTGAGCTCGCGCCCGCGCTGAGGCGAGGTCTACTGTCGTCGTCACCGCCGCTCCTGACAGCCCACGACGGCCGCGGCTGGTGGCAGAGCGGAGCGGCACAGGCATGGTCGGTGAGGCTCGACGAGAGACTCGGGATGCGCGACCAGGGCGTGACAACAAGGCGGAAGACGGGGAGGCCGAGGCCGAAGAGCGGGCTCTCGGGGAGGGTCTGGACCTCAAGGCCGGCGGCGGCGGCGACGAGGTGGACGGCTTGGCAGACAACATTGTCGGCAGCGAGGATTTCGAGGACAGGCAACCAGTTGTCATCGACAGGCGAGCCGGCAGAAGTCCGCGCGATGGAGCTGGCCGCCACAAGGCGCATGTGCTCGACTCCGGTCTCGGCGTCGATGTCGATGAACGCGTCTAGGCCATCGATCTCGGCGGCGACCACAGCGACGGCATCGCTCGAGAGCAGGGCGCGGCCGGCAAAGTACAGCATGTAGCTCGGCCCGTGGCGGTGTAGGTGGGTACGGACAAGCGCTTCCACCTGCGCAATGGTCGAGCTGACGGCCAGCGACCGCGCCTGCGTCGGAACCCGAGAGATCAGCGACGACACAATCTTGGCCACATCTTCCCATCGCTCTTGCGCTTCGCCAAGCGCGCCGGCGCCCATGCCTCGTCGGCGCGGGATATGACCTGACGATGATCCGGGCGAGGCCTGCGACGATGATGCAGCCGCCGCAGCCTGAGCCCGCCGCTTCTTCCGCCGACGGGGCATGTTGCGACAAGTGTGGTTCGTGTGGGGACGGGTCCAGATCTTGTTGTGCCGATCGTGTTGCTGTCGATGTCGTGGAGTTGATCGTACTCGTTATTGTTCTCCATCCGCAGCCATGGTAGGCAGCCATGGTGGGCAAACGTTGTAGGCAGCCATGGTAGGCAGCCATGGTAGGCAGCCATGGTAGGCAGCCATGGTAGGCAACCATGGTAGGCAGCCATGGTAGACAACCATCGTAGGCAACCATGGTAGGCAGCCATCGTTGGCAGCCATCGGAGGCAGCCATCGGAGGCAGCCATGGTGGGCAGCCATCATAAGCAGCCATGGTAGGCAACCATCATAAGCAGCCATGGTAGGCAGCCATCATAGCAGCCATGGTAGGCAGCCATCATAAGCAGCCATGGTAGGCAACCATCGTAGGCAGCCATGGTAGGCAGCCATGGTAGGCAGCCATGGTAGGCAGCCATGGTAGGCAACCATCGTCGGCAGCCATGAATAGAAAAACCATCGTCGGCAACCAAGAAAGGCAAAAATCGTCGGCAGCCATGGTAGGCAGCCATGGTGGGCAGCCATCATAAGCAGCCATGGTAGGCAACCATCATAAGCAGCCATGGTAGGCAGCCATCATAAGCAGCCATGGTAGGCAGCCATCATAAGCAGCCATCATAAGCAGCCATCGTAGGCAGCCATGGTAGGCAACCATGGTAGGCAGCCATGGTAGGCAGCCATGGTAGGCAACCATCGTCGGCAGCCATGGTAGGCAACCATCGTCGGCAACCATGGTAGGCAACCATCGTCGGCAGCCATGGTAGGCAGCCATGGTGGGCAGCCATCATAAGCAGCCATGGTAGGCAACCATCATAAGCAGAATAAACCCTCCATCATAAGCAGCCATGGTAGGCAGCCATCATAAGCAGCCATGGTAGGCAGCCATCATAAGCAGCCATCATAAGCAGCCATCGTAGGCAGCCATGGTAGGCAGCCATGGTAGGCAGCCATGGTAGGCAGCCA